AGACGTGATCTTTATTGTAAATCTAGAACGGGCTTAGTGCAATGTGTGCAATAATGTAAGATTTCCAAGCGGATTAGCTTTACAAATTCAATTTCCATATTGTTGCTTATGTGTATTTAACTATTTGTAATGGGAGCCTTTCGAAGATATTTTAATTGATTTTTAAGTGCCGTACAAATTACATAATCTTGTGAACGTAGCCATGCTAGACCCAGGCACAGTCGAGCCTCTACTTACAGGATGTGCCCCGCTTCCTGCCTTCTGCCTGCTGGCTCAGCGCAGAATTGAGCTCCATCTTAGGAAGGGTTTTCGCCAGCAGCAGTCAGCAGCAGCAGCAGCTCGTGCCGCGTGGCTTGGCACGAATGATTATTCGTCTTTTTGTTTGATAAATGTTTTTATCACCGCATCGAGTTCATTCATTGCCAGCAGCTTAATCTGAATGCCATCGTCAACTGATGGCAGCGCATTAGTTTGCCAGCTGCTGGACGGGCACACGGGTAAGGAGGAGACTGGGAGCGGAAGTTTCATTACAGTTGCCAGAAGGAAATGAGGAGTTGCCCACGCTTCAGAGTTTACACAGTCTCCCCCACTTGCCAGGCAGCTTGAAATCGATGCGTATCTCGAATGATGATTTGCGGTGCGAGCTTGACGAAACTTTAACTTTTGAAAACCATAAAATAATTAACACTTGATTATTATTCGGGGAGCGCTCAGCACGGACGGAAAACTTTGGCCGAAACTTTCTTGACTCGCTTAAGTTGCAACCGGGGACACATTGGTTTAATTTCTCAACTATTCCGTTGCAATCTAAAAACAGATTTGGTCCTTCTCGTTCTCAGCAGCAGCCAAAGGAGGCGCAGAGAGGGACTTGCTCTCATAGGGAGCCGCATAACGAACGTTCTGGATGCAAATTGTTAACATAGTTGCAGCGCAAGATTAATGCAAACATATATTAATCAAATTTTAACGTTCTTGGCGGGATGCCTAGCCCGTTCCGCACGGTCCTGTTCGTCATTGTTTCTTCTAATAAACTTAAGTGCAGCTTGCCGGGCGTTGTTGGCACTGCCGGGCAGTGGAGGGCAATGGAGGGCGCTGCGCCAGAAGCTGAGACAAAAGCAACAAGAATAAAAAATTAACGTCAAACAAAGAAAATCCACCATTATTATGTGCCACGCACATAAAACTTTGGGCTACAAAAGAAAACACACACACTCATGCACATGTACACACACACAAATATTGCTCTGCCATGGGGAAGTTTAAAAAGTTTATACGATATTATACGAAAATTGATCAACATTTTTAAGGCTTTGAAACTGGGTTGATCTATCCAGGTATACTAACTTTTCAGATTTTTTAGATATATTTATAAAATATAAGAAAAAAAGAAAAAAAAAAAAAAAACAATTTATAGTTTAAGTTTTCTTTGAATACGATTTGATAAAATTAATAATGATAAAATGAATAATCCCATAATAATATTTTAAATATTTGAATATAATAGAAGATAATATAAATATATTAAAAATACAAACAGCTTTTGTTTTTTATTTTTCACTAGTAGTAAACGTGCCCAAAAATATATTGACTTAAAATTATATTTACTTATTTTACCAATTCATTTTGGAAATATCTTTATTTAACCGAATACATATTATGTTGATGTGTTAATTATTATATTTTTAATACATATTATTGTATAGGTTTTTGGAAGAAGTAAATTAGTTACTCTCTAAATATTACAGCTTTTCCACTCTAATGATTCCATATTTAAAAAAATTATCTCAGAAACCACAAGAATTTCAAAATAGTGGAAACGCTTTGAGCAGCCCTAAAAGACAAGCGTGAAAAAATGCAGCTTTTCATCCCCAAAAAAGGAATCCATTGTTGGTTTTTGTGCTCCTTTTTTCTTTTTTTTTTGCGAAGCAAGCGAAACGAGGGTGACTTGACGGACAGACGTCGACGGAGCTGACGCTGACGACGTTTTTCATCAACGCTCGTCATCTTGTGCCATCGTCAGCTACGCACAATTGTGCGTCGTATGGGAACGTTGTGACAGAGATGTGGAGGGGGAATACAGACGCGTATGGCTACGGGAAACAAAAACGGCCCTTGCCGCCATTGTGTCTTTGGCTTGAGCCGCCGCTGCCTGTCCCAGCAGTGGTTGCTACAGGGGCTGGCGGTGGTGGTGGTGCTGATGGTTATGGTGGTGGTGGTGGTGGAAGTTGTGCGTATTTTTGTGTCACATTCCAATCTATATCAATCTTGTGTTCGCAATGACGGATGACATTTGTCAATGTCAGACATTTTCGTTTTCCATTTCAGCCTCAAAGGGCAGGAGCGAGTGCGCGAGAGCGCGCCGCCTGTCTGTGCCGGGCAAAGGAACAGCGAGTCCTGGCGCTGCCCTTAAAGTCACTTGCCCAAAAAGTCAGCCCTCGCCAGCAAACGCCCACAATTCTAGCGCCGACCAGCCCACTGCCCCCCGCACCCTCCCCCTACACACACAGTCGCCAGCTCCAGGCTGTGCCACAAGACACGGAAGGCGGCCAACGCATGAGTTTGACGAATTTGATGTCAAATATTTTCGTTGTTTTCCTCATTTTTTTATAAAAAGCATTTTCTCGGAATTAGAATTGGCTTTTGGGCGCGTCCGTCCCCGTTCCCCTTGGGGCACTTGCTCGCTGCTGGGGTGGCTACTACCAAAATTACCCGCACCCTCTGCTGCTTTCCCCCTCTGCCCACATTTGGGTATTGTATGCGAATAGGTTTGAAGGGAATCACTAAATGTGTTTGCGTTAAGTGTTTTCGATTCACAAATATTTGCATTCATGTCAAGCCCCTCCATTAGCTGAGTGTTGTCTAAAGGGGCGGCGTTTATTGGCTTGGCTTTTCTATATTAACTAACTGAGTGATGTGGATGCACTGATCTGGAAATGGCATGGCTATTTTGATTAGATTTGGCATTCTTTCATTAAAGCAAGTTGGCAAAAATTAATTGCAGCCAGTCTATAAAAAAACAGTTAGGCAATTGTTATAAATTATTTTCTCACACATTTATAAATAAATAATTAGAAATATGGTATTTTTTTAAGCCACGAATTACAAGAAAAATGCAATCCAGAAAGTGCAGAAAATATGACAAGTCAGTTAACGGGTTAGTCCACTATTAATTTTGAAATGCTTTAAAATATTAATAATAAGAATAAGAACAAGAATAATATAATGAATATTAATGTATTTACAGAGTGCATATTAAAATAGGATTTTTCTATATATTTTTTTGCCAAAAGATCCGTGAAAATATTTCATCAATAATATTTAGAAAATAATTAAAGAGTAATTTCAATTGTTGATTGTTTTTTATTATGTAGCTGGGTTTTCAGCTGGCTCAAGGTCGGTTTCTTGTGCAAACGCAATCACTTTTACTTCTACCAATATGTTTCGATCGCCTCAGACAGTCCGCTTCTAAATTCTTTTAATCATTTATATTATATTTTCTCATCATTTTGAAATGAACAAGGGCCTAGAAAAATTTTCCAGCTAACAATTTGTACTTCTTAATGACTCTTTTAAGATAATCACGGCAAATTCAACGTACACAAAACGCGCACAACTATTATCCTTAATCCTCATCAACAACTGCCCTCTGTCAGACCACAGGTTAAGAGCATAAACATCGCATATTGGAAAGCCATTAATCAAACGTTTAAATGTTTAATAACGAGCACCTAAGAACATTCGTTGTCAAAACAAACACTCGACATCATTCAACATTCGGTAATGATAAGCACTGAGCCAAGTTCCGAGCCCTTGCGAATGGGAACTGTTATAAAATATGAAGAGCGGAACGTGTAAGGGGTTCCAAGTAACAGCTAACAGCTCAGACGTACAATGATCATGAGCTACAAGGCAAAATAAGCAGGAACCACCCGCAAATCAACAGTGGGCCGAGTGTCATCGATGGCCACAAATGAAACCCAACATGAACCCAGCAACAAGCCGCCGTTTTGTTGAACATCATTAATAACAAAATACGAGGAGACGGAATTGCGGGAATTGAATTAATGAATGCCACGTTTTGGCCCAGAGAAAAGAAGAGAGCAAGAGAGAGAGGGAGAAGCGGGAGCAGGCATAACGCCTTCGAAGATGTGCTAAACGCGCGTCCAGCCCAGAAACAGGCTCTGGGAATGGACACCGTGCACCGGGCATTGGACTTTTGTGCTGCTGTCCTGCATGTTATAGGGAAAATTAATGAAGTTTTGTTGAAACGCATGCCCAAATTAAAAACAAACCCAAGAACCGAAAACAGAAAGCCGTAAACCAAAACAAAGGCAAAACGCATAAACAATTGAAAAGTGTGCCGATGACAGAGCAGCGAATTGGCCCAGTAGCGGGGGCAGGCGAAGGGCGGGGCCACCCATTTCCAAAGGCAGTTTTTGTTATTGGATCTGGAACCGCACTGTCTGCACTGGCAGAGACACAGCGTATCCTGCATCGGGACTAGTAGACTTCGTGTCGACACTACGAGTGGCTGTGGATACACGTTGCGATTGTTTGATCCATTTTCGTTGGAGCTGCGCGCATGATTAATCGATTCCAAACGTGGTTTCACACCCAAAGATATCGCATACAAATCGAATTAAAGACAGACCCGACCGAGTGGTAATTAATTTCTATTAAATGTTGATAAATGATTTTCAATACGCTGCCACAACGACAGTCAATGCAAATTTAGTTTTCAGTCTTTACTTTTTAGTATTCGAATGGGACTTGTGTTAAATTTAGACACGAGCAAACACGACCCAACACGACGCACCTTAAGTCCAATGGCACTCAACACTTGACGAGCTCACAAAACCCTAACAGCATAACAAATATTCAACATAATGATATATATAGTGTGTATATCATATACATGAGTGATGTCGTGCATGTTGGCAAATTTTACGACTTACTTTTCGTGTTAGTAAGCCTTTGAACTTTCATTCGAAAATAAACACTTTTAAATATATAAATATCTGCAATATCTCATTCCATACCAGACATTTATTGAAGCCAAAGTTTAGAGCTTTAAACTTCTATTCGTGCTCGTGGCAGTGCATTGCATATTCCAAATCCAACACGCGGGCATCCCTAAGACGACAGCTAGTTGTAAGTTTCTATTGCACCAAAGACACCTCATTTTTTTCGACGCCTGCATCGTGACCGTATCGTGGCATGATAAAATATCTCAAACACTCAACCATCTCTAACACGAGCACGAACTTATGCACTGGGAGTTTAAGACTTCTACTCCACTAAAAAAAAGCAGGCGTATAAATAGTAGTCGGAGCCGCGTCGCTGTGGCTGCTGGGCACCGCTTGACAAATGATGTGCCAGGGAACAGCTTCAAGTGACGGTGGCAATTATGCGAGGAGCCAACTGAAACGCAAATGACAGGTCGATTGAGTTAACGTTAACGCTAAACGCCTCGCCTCGCCTCGTGCCGGCTACCAGACAAAATATCTGTGGCTATTTTTGTAAGCGCATTCGCTCGATCGCCTCACGATCGATCGCCAGCCATTAATAATCCATTGGAACGAGAGGCAGTCACCGCAATATGTGTAGCAAACAGGTGTGGTGCCGGTGGTTGCATTGGCTCTACTCTGGCCTAAGCTCGATCCATTCGCAACACGATCATCCTGTCAGTGGCTGCTGCTGCTCCTGGCCAGCATTTTGCCGCAAATCGATCATCGTCACGCGCGGCCCAAAGTCAATTAAACTGAGCAAAACTTCCATTAACAGAATTCGTTTATGGATATGAAAAAATAATTAAATATAATGCAGTATGCGGCTCAATGTGGTGTCGTAGTTGATTGTTTTTGGGCGCTTGTGTTCCATTTGAGGCGTATTATATTGAAATGGAATCGGTTTCAGCTATGGCCTCACGCAACGCCAAATTCAATTAATAATATTCAATTAATTGAATTTCTTTCGAAATACGGAATTCAATATGTTTTTTATCATTAAAAGGGAGCATCTCAGGACCCAATTTGTTAACAGAAATGTTACAATATTTTAAATACTTAAAGAGAAATTTTCATGTACAATGAAATTGTTATAAATATCGTAATCTATATCTTTTTTTGTAATACTTGGACATATTTTGACTAGACTCAATTAAATTCTAGAGTATTCAGAATGTTGCCAACGCTACTCACATTTTTCCGTCTATGCTCCAGCAATATTTTTCAAATTTCAAGCCACAGCAAATTTGGTGCAGACTGTGTGTAGAAGATGATGAACTGATTGTGTCAAGATGGAAATCGAAACTGAAACTGATGCAGAGCAAATCCAATACACATGGCACATGGACTTAACTGGCCGCCAAAGTCGGATGTCATAAATCAAGAGACGTTAACTGAGCCGCCAGACAAAGGATAAATGGTCAAAAGTCACAAGTCAAAACACAAAACAAACAGACACCCACACAGCGAGAGGCGAAGTTTTATGACGGTCATCGATGACGATTGACTAGCCCGGACGCGGACTACCTACGGCAAGGATTACAAAGGATTGCCGAACAATTGTAGTGCAAATATTTGCATATGCGAGAGCGTTACGCACCCGGAAAATGTCAAGGACACAGCAAGCAAAACAAATAGAATGGAAAGCAAATGTTAGAGTGGACCTTAAAGTATTGAGCAAACGTTAAATGTTTGTGCTTCAGCTGATTTAAGAAGGGACTTATATGCAGCAAATTAACCACCTGAAGAGTCAGTTGGTTAAGGTAGGTATATTAAGCAATATATATAAGTATATACAGAATACTTGTATGCAAATCGCCTCAAGGTCTGAACAGTTTTGCAATTAAATTTGTCTGCCCTTTCAGATTGTTAAGTCTTACAGTTTGCCAGTAGAAGTTTCGATGGGAAGTCATTTGGACAGTCATTCAGTCAATCAAGTGCATTCACTTTGTTTTTCGCTTCGAGACGGCACCCCAAAACCAAAGGCCAATTATTACTAATGTGAGCGAGGGGGATGGGTGGCTGTGAGTTGAATCGCGACGCGTTGCGTGAAAATGTTGCACATTTGCATAATGATAGTAATTATCAATAAATATTCATTAGTGTGAGTCTTGTGCTTAAATTTAATTTGCTTTTAATTATGAGCATAATAATTACTCTCAATTAGTTCGGGAACATTTTAATAACCGTATGTACAGTATTCGCGAAAAGTTTATTGCATGTTTTTTAGCTTATATTTTTTTTGTTTCGTAGAATGTTTTAAAACGAATTATATTTAAATTTTACAATTCACCTGACACTCTCGGGAGACAAAATATAATGCATTTTTAAGTTAGTGGACTTTTACTCGTATATTTTTATTACAACTGTCATTTGGTGTTTCAAAAATATTTATAACAGTATATAAAAATAGGGTTTTAATTTTTATAAATATGTACAACAACGCATAATAACATACCCCATTTAAATAATTTAATGTTTGTTTATTATATGTAAATGTATGGGTGTCTACCAGAAAATAAACCGTCAGAGATGTAAGAATTCATCATAGATGAAAAGAACATGAATATGTTTTATATGTAATAGAATATAGAAGTAGTTTGGTATATACAAAAAATATATATCGGGCGTATAATGATAGCAATATCTTAGATACAAAAAGATCTTGTCTCTTTTAGAATTTTGGACATTATTTTCATATTCAACATTGGGCCAACACTTTTGTACCTACTACAAACTGAAATTTGAATATTTTTCTATAGGTTACACAAATTAAGCACACCTTTTATTCAAATCATGCAGATTTCAGTAAAGCGCTGTAATTAAATTCGACCGAAAACAAAAAACCCAAATCAGCCATTGACCTCACAGTGGGTGAGCAGCTGAGAACCAGTTTTGACCTCTGATCCCCTGCGCCTCGCACCGCATTGACCCACACCAGAATGCAGTCGATAAATTTTCTACCTGTCAATTGATGAGGCTACCTTAATGGCACCCAAGATAAACAGGCATTTTTCTTTGATTATGCGACCGTTCCCGTTCCAATCCCGACTGCGGATGCATTTCAAAATGGCGCTGCGCACTGGACACATGGCTGGAAATAGGTTAATGCACTTGCCACTTGCCACAGCCAAGGCGACTGCGGCACGAAAATTGTGAACCACTTAAAAGAAAATTCTTATAATTATATTGTAAAACATGAGACGGTCCATGCGAATTAAGCCCAACACGCACTAAACGGGCTTCGGGAGCGGCCCAGGCAACGGGCAATGGCTAATGGCAATGTCAACAGCAAAGGGCAGCCGCAACGGCTACAACCTCCGCGCCTTCTCAGTCTCTAGTACTGACTCGGACTCTCGCAAAAACCCCATAATGAAGTCATTAAAGTTTCACCCTTATTATGGCTTTTAAAGTGATTGCAAAATGAGCGGTACTCTCCACCTATGGTTAGTATGGCAGGGCAACGGCAGAAGCAGCGGGGAGGGATAGCTGATTGCGGCAATGTCTTCATTTTGTATGCATCAAATTTGTGATTAAGTAAAAAGTGCAGCCGCATTTTTCATGCCATAATAAAACACACACACACGCATGAGCGGAAGGAAGGTGCAAGGAAACAATTTCCTGTAATTGCCACCATTCTTGTTAATCATACCCAACCACACACTCACACACACAGCACAGTTGCAATTTTCCACTCATCTAAGTACGCGTTGAAATATTAATGGACTTTTAAAATTCAGCGTGCCGGACAAACGCCCAGTCGAAGCTGGAGTCCGCATTTGGCTTTGCGGCTCTCTCTTTCCAGGCACAGGTGTGCCATGGTCATGGGATATGCGAAACAGTTATGATATCAGGAGCATTAAATTGCAGTTTAATCAAAAAGAGCAAATTAATTCGATAACCGAACATCAAACAAAACCGATTGCTGAAAATTGTGTTTCATTAAGGGGATTCTGGTAGAGCACTCTAATTTTTATATATTTCCATATGTTCAGTTTTTTATCTTTCCTATCATCTTTCAGGTTCTGTTGCCTATATCTATTTATATGTATTATAAATATTAAACATAAGCTTATTTCAAAGATTCATAACTATATTTGAAAATCAATAAATTTTTCGAAGTCTTGCGGATATTTGATCGCAGTTCGATGGTTTGCTCGGATACAAATGTATTTCAAAAATATTTTGTTGTATCTAACAGATTCTTTAATTATAGACCCTTTATATCTAACCGAAACGTCGGTATCAATAGATACAAGTGAGTCTATCTATCTAATAGATCTTTTTATTATGATATTTTATTAAATATTTATAGATCCTTTGTATCTAACCGCAACTTCGATATCACCCAATATCAGATTGTATCTCCAAGATACAAGTGGAACCCAAAGTTACTTCCTTAGTATCTATACTCTTCAACTCCTAAATTTATGGAATGTTACAGATATTTGCTCACACACAAACTCAATTGTATCTCGCAGATATAAGTGGATCTCAGTGCTAATTGTTTCCTAAAAGATATTTTGATTACGATTTTTTATCTATATATTTATAAATACTTTAATACCTAACCGAGCCGTCTGTATCTCTATAAATATGAGATTGTATGTCACAGATACAAGGGAAACCCTCATTTACTCATGCGGTATATAATCTATATAGATACGTTCATGTCTAACGAAAATTCTGTAAGGAACTCGAATCTATATAACAGATATCCTTGCGGGTCGGTTACTTTTGTTTATCATAGCATATTTACAATTATATGTGCTATTAAATTTCACGGATAATTTAATATATATTCTCGCATCTAGCTTATACAAAGATAGATTCTTCTGTTTCTAACAAAGATGTTTGTCTGCTTTTCTGCAAATATTATATATACTATGTGCTATTGGATTTAGCAGCTTAATGATAAATATGAATTTCTTAAAGAGTTTAAGGTAACGTCAGGTCAGTCAAAATGCAATTATATTATGTTTTTAATAATTATGTGCTACATACAAATTCCATATCAACTACTTTGAGCACGACTTAAGTTTTTGTTCTTCAATTATTTAGTACAAGATGATTAGTCGAGATGTGTGTACGGTCCATATTTGGCCCGCAAAAGCGTTGCCATTAATTAGACCAATTAAGAGCTGCCTTTTTCGTAGCTTTGGTGTCTGTTGTGCAATTTCTTTTATAATTTGCCACAATTAACAACTGATCAGCAATTAAAGTTGCATTACCTGCCAGAGACACAGACTCAACCGGAGACGGAGCCCGATTCGAGTACGGTTCGGAGTTGCAGTCGGTGCCTTAATCGGCACCTGCAGATCATCGAATGGTGCCGCAAAAGTGCGTGGATAACAAATGCCTAGTACCATTCCATGCATTCACCAGATCCGTTGTTGTTGTTGTTATTATTGTTGATTTCGCCATAGCCGCAGTTGTGCCCCCGTTTCCCTCTACTTCACTTATATGGTGGGTCGCAATTGCCTCGCTGATGGCCTCTGCCTCCGTCCGAGTGGTCGCCTTGGCGTTTGCTGGCGCTGTTAGCGACGTACATCAAAAACAACTTAAGGCCACCACCGGTTAGGTATTTGGAGGATTTTTCGCAGTTTCTAATGATGATGATGGCCGCTGGCAGCGGCACCAAATTGCTGGCACCATTGCCGACTCCATCAGGCCTCCGTCTTCGACGCAGCTGCCGCGTTGGAGTCTTGGTCTGTGCCGATGTGCCAGGGGAGATCAAACGCGTATCAAACGATAGTGTTATTAAAGACAATCTTAAGAACACAGTAAACAAACTTTATGTACATTAACTTAAATATGTTTATGCATTAATATAAATAATGATTGTGAAAATATATTTGAGAGATTTAGCCCTAAGGACCGAGAGATACACCTAAATATATTTATAAATCTGACGAATTTTCTGTCCTAATTTTTTAATGAAAACTCATTTGAGTCTCGTTTCACACTTCTCGAAAAATCTAACCCTCTTCAAAAGAAAGTAGGACTCAAAGGTTTTATGAGTAATATGTTAAGTTTCGTCCGATTGGCTTCCCCTATTTTAAAGACCTTCAAACTATTTCCTGTTACTTGCACGCATTTCCGATCTCATCTAAAGTTCCAACACCTGTTGCTTGGCAGCCTCACTTATGATATTAAAAAGCACACACAGCCCAGGCTTAGCTATGTTTGTGTTTTGCCAGCTGAGATACAATTCAACCAGATAGTAAAGTTCGCGGCCGGGCGCGCCCTCAGGACATGAACTTATGAGCGACGAAAGATTTATGGGTTTTAATTTCCTGAGCTGTTGCCTGCTCCATGCAAGGCGTCGAGCCGTGCCGAATCCATTTGTGCATCCGACTAGAGTAGCCCATATTGCTGAATATCTGGGTGTGGGTGGCGCTGTTTAGCATATGTGTAGTGTGTCAACAGTAGCTCTCGGTACAGGGATATGCTGAGGAGACAGACCCAGTCTCAGCCGCATACCAAATGCAACCATGCTAAAAGGATGGTAGAGAAATTTGAAGTGCGACACGTAATATTCCGGTTGCATTCTCGTTATGGCAGCAACTGCGGCCGAGGCAGCCTGTCAGCACATCTGCAACAAAATGAAGAATGGCCCTGCGACCACCGAGCGACCTAATAGCATTAGACTAATGCCAGCAGAGGCAGAAGCTACCTAAACAGGATAGCTGCTGGGAAAAAGTGAAAGTGCGCCTAGCCTGACCCGAGCAAATTTCATGCAACATTGCGTGGCACAACAGCAGGAGGGGAATCCATTGTATATAAGAGAATGGGAAGTGTGCCGTTAGACTGCAGGAGATCGCTCCATTTGCATTTTGCATGCGTGTTCCTCCCATTACCAAAGAGTTGCCACACACACACGCATGTGGCAAGAGGCAAATGCAAAAAGCGAATAGTGTACGGCTTTGAGACACTTGTGTAATATATGGCTGCACTCACTCAGACTGACTAAATTCGAAGACCTTTCGCTGGCAGGGAACAGCGCCAACCGAAATGTTTACCCTTGATCGATTGCCGCTGAACCGTAACGGAGCAACGCACGCGTAACAAATGCAATCCT